CTGATCATATGGCCCACAGTGGAAGATGTTCGATGCTCCTTAGAGGTACTATCAAGTAGTACATTTCCTTGCTTAAATTATTACACTCATCTATTCTATGTTTATGGCATGGTGTTTAAGATATTTACTTTGCTATTGCTTTAGAAGTTTCATGACCTTCTCCACACAGTTGGATATAGTTTTATTTTTCCTTGAGGTCACTTAATATTTAACTAGAGTCCTCTATATTTAATGTTGGGATGAGCCTTTTTTATTAAAAGCATCCTATGTAGGCTACTGTGTGTAGTTTGATTGACATCAGAGATGGTTCATCATCATGATTTAGTACTGGACATTTAATCCAGCTCATAGTTCAAATGGTAAGATTTTTTTTTCCTTTTGTTTTCCGGTGAGTGAGGTTGGAGCTTGCCCTTTTCCCATCGAGTATGCTAAAGGCAATTAGGACCTTCTGTCTTCATTATATTTCTCTACCTATTGCTGACTCCCTCTGAGATACTATCTTATTTTGATTACCTTGTTTATTTTGACCTAGGGTTATGCAGCTGGAAATGCCATACCAAGCCCACTAAAGAATGTGGAGAAGGAATTTTTGAAGAAGTATTGGGCAAAATGGAAGGCTAGCCATACTGGTCGCTGGTAAGAATAAGATTCATTTTGTTGATTTGGTTGATTATTACTTAGCTTTCTTGCAACACCCTGTGTGAGATTTGCTTACATTACTTGTTTTAATTTGATATCTGTAGCCTATGTTATACTGTAAAATTGGAATTATGTGAATGCTCAGGTAAAAAGTGCCACTAATACTCCTATCTACTGAACCGCGAAATGGACTGCAGCTAGTCTATGGAGAGAGGGAGTCTTGTTTTTCTGTTTATTCTAAGAAAGGACTATTCGTTTCCTGCTAATACAATCTCTCATTTTTTCAGTCGTGCAATGCCACACATAAAGACATTTGCACGCTATAAGGGGCAGAAACTCGCGTAAGCATCGTTTCCTTTGTGAATACTTTATGTTCTTAATGCTTCTTTCTAAGGATGCTGCCAATACTTGCAAACTGAATTTCTGAACATTCTTAACTTGAGCAGTTGGTTGCTGTTAACTTCAGCAAATCTCAGCAAAGCAGCCTGGGGAGCACTTCAGAAAAAAAATTCTCAATTGATGATTCGGTCTTATGAGGTATATGATGATAAACTTCATTTGATGATAAATAATCCCAACAGTATAACGACACTTCTGTTTTCAACCTAGTGACATAAGTCAGATACTGAAAATCTCCTCAGAATATCCAATGCTCTGGCAGTGTGACACCCCATTTTATTTCGCTATTTATAGGTTGTTGGAGTTCAGGTAGCCATAAGTGTTTCTTTCACATCCTAATAGAGCAAAAGTTTCGTGTCTTATTTACAGTTGGGAGTGCTATTTTTACCATCTTCCATCAAAAGACGAGGTAGAAAATTTTCTTGCACAAACAATGGGGTTTCTTCAGAGGTAAAAGCTAAATCCTTCTCTTGTTTGTATAGTCTTTTTCTTTACACCCCCCTTTTTAGGGATTGTATTATCATAAGGGAGGATGCAGCAGAATGTAGTTCTTTGTATTTCTGACTTTTACTGAAGGGAAATGGAAACAGCTCTTTCATATATTCTCTTTTTTTCCCCAGTTTAAGGATGTAGCTGCATCATCTAAAAATTCTGAAGTACGTAGAGCCAAGCTGGTGACCCTGGCATGGCAGAGATCCCAGGATAAAGATTCCTCACGCGATATAATTTCTTTGCCCGTGCCTTACGAGCTTCCTCCTCAATCATATTCTCAAGAAGGTAGCACAATGAACTTAAATAGTCTCTTGGTTTTTTCCCTCCCAAGGTTGCCATTGTCTAAGTTCTTTGAACATTGGATGCAGATGTGCCATGGTCATGGGATCGGAGGTACACAAAAAAAGATGTGTACGGTCAAGTGTGGCCACGGCAAGTTCAGTTGTATGCTTTTCAAGAGTCTTGACTTTCATGGACATTTCTCTCAAACCTTTCCAAGATGCTATGTCTATTTTATGTGTCGAGTATGATTCCACTGCACCGCTTTCTGATTCTAACAATTTGAAGTACCGGTTGGACAAGCGCAGTGGTTGGTTTCACTGTCTAGGAACTAACCTGTGGTAATGAACTTGGGTGGAACTGGCCATCTTAAGAAATCGAACTGTAAATTGGATGATTTCACTTTGGAACTGCTCTTGAGGTAAACGGTAACGGTTTGATTTATTCAAGTTGGTTTTCAAGTTGAACTGGTTCAGTAGCCTTCAGGAGAAATGTTTGCCTTGGAATGTGCAAGAAAAGGAAATCAATAGGAGTATGGTAACATGTTCATATCTTATTATACCATTTAGAAACAGATACCAGAAAATGCATAATTATGTGGTTAAATGCTCCACTTTCATATTTCTCGTTTTGTTAGTCTAGTGTAAATGAGATAAAGTCGGTTCGACCCCAAAAATTTACCCGACTTGCCTGCTGTTCCACCCCATTCGGCGAACCCATCCCTATCTGAATTTGATTTGATGAGAAGTCGGGTACTATAAATTTAAATTGACTAGATTTCAAATTGATCAATCTTGGGATGGGATGGACGTGGTTATTGCAAATTTACACCCGATCCGAATTTGAACAAAAGTGGGCCTCAACGAGGCTGGGGTTTAGATGACTGATAAGGAAGAGAAGTGATTCCAGATATAGTAATTTCAATGAGGTAATAAAACTTATACAGGAGGAACCGAGGGGGCTATAACATTCTAGTAAATGTACTTAAATGATAGCATTTGAGCAAATGATAATAAGAGTACGTAAGCTTAAAGAATGAAGGCAATGACCCATTACATGAAGCCGCATCAACATGTATCTTACGTACAGTCGATCAAATGCAGCCTATATTTTCAATTTTGATTATTACTATTAGCCAAAGAAAAGATAAAAAGAAAATAAAAGAAACAACTTATACAAAAAAAATATATTCCGTCATTAGCATTCTAAAATTAACTCATGAAATGTGTCACGCTGGGCCGTTGGACATTGAAGAGATCCTTCATGAGATGGAAACATCTTCAACTACACAAATGGTGGTGCCTCATGCAAATGGCTCGGAGACACTAAGATCATGACTCATAGTTATCGGAATTTCTTTCCATAAATGAGTTCATTCCACTTCTATCTCATTAACTCAATCTTGCGACTATAATAAGCATTGAGAGTGAGCTTCATCACAGAACATTTTCCCGCCTTTTCACTCGAAAATGTATGTTTTCTTTGAGCCCCAGGAAGGAAGTCCTTTCTGCATTCAAATTGGTTTCCATGATACAGTCCTCGAGATCAAAGTGAAGATCAAAAAACACCAAGGAATCCCCGTCCATAGACAAACTTTGGTTTTCAATGATGAGGCCCTTGATGATGAGCTCGATGTCGAGGGCTGCAACATCCACGATTGCTCCCGCATTAGGCTCGTTGTCGAGCCAAAGCCACCGCCATTCACTAAAATTGAATTACGGATAGGAACGCTGCCATCCAATATGCGGCTTCCCATAGAAGTTAATGTGAACGACCCTGTGAAACGCTTGAGAGAGGTTGTCCGGTCCCTGGAAGATGTCCCTCTTGAGCGGGTGACGCTGTATTCAAATGGAACTGAACTTGAAGATGATTGCCGGATATGCGACTACGAGCTTCAGGACAATTCCAGTGTTGATGTGCGGATCAAGCCTCTGAAGTTCATGGTGATGGTGTTGCCATGGAAAGCCAACCTTAAAGTTGCGGTGGAAGTGGAACAGTGGGACAAAGTAAAGGTTCTGAGGAAAGAGCTTGAGAAGCTGCAGCCGAGCCTGAAGTTCGATCTTCCATCGGAGGGGTATTTTTTCATACATAACCAGAGTGGGATGGATGAAGATGAGTCGTTCAAATGGCATGGCGTCGAGATGGGCGATACTATTGAGGTTTTCAGGGGGACGATTTCACGATGAGGCCTGGTTTTCGCATCCAATTAGCTGTTTCACTGGGAGATCTAGGGCATGATGACAATAAAGTTCTTAGTGTGAGTACAGGTTATAGGTCTAGTGACATGCAATCCCCTTTTACCTTTTATGTTGGCATTATCAGGTTTTCTAGATTCCATTGTTCTTTCTCCCTTTCCGTCTTTGTTGTCGTTATATCTCTCTTCTTATACAACTGTCTTAGAAAATCATATAATCTTGGGGCGTGATATTCTTATCTCATTTCAATTCTGTCTGCGATGATAAATGCGTGGTGACTCACATCCGCAGGTCAAGTCAATAAATTTGTGTTGAGAAATGGTGGAATTAAATAGTTTTTGGATTTGGATTTCCTAGTTTGTACACACGTTGCCTTCTTAAGTACGTGGCCTGATTGACAAGTTTTCAGTCGATCTTTCACTAGTTCTCCTCAGCTTCTAAATCCTTTTGGCCAAATTATTGCACCAGCCAAAGAAGCTTCAGTCGTAAAATTCACCCAAATGCAACATCTTCTCTGTGATTATCTACCAAATGAGGAATCTGACGGAAAAGCTTTGAAGCAAGAAAGATAGTTGCTATCTAGCATGTTATCTTCTCCGTAAAATTGGACAATCGTGTCCCAGGAGGCACTTCTTTCTAGCAAAAGATGATCAGTCCAATCTGAATCGAAATGATCCTTAGCTGATTGACTACGTTCTTTCCTTCTGCAAAATCTGGTCGGTGCTACTACTCTATATGCTCCTCCATGACCATCTATCCTAGAAAGCAAGCCATACCAAATCAACTGGCCGGGAATCAGTTTAAACATAGATCGATCCGGATCGAAGGGACTTATGTTTGACATATTTATTCTTGATCTTACTCAGCAAGAATGCTTTAGGTACTGTGAAACTTTGTTACATGATCTTATTTATAAGAACCATCTTTGGCAAATAAGTTTCTTCGATATTTCAAAGGAATTCCAGTCGTGTATTCTGTCATCACTTTGGAACAAACTCCAGGCAACTCGATCCCTGAAATTATTACTACTAAACCAAAAATAGGATTTCTCTGAGGAATAAATATGATGCTGTTGTTCAATGGCAGTAGGATTTCATTTAGTGCATAGTGAGAGCTGCGAGTGATGCAACCAAATACATTGCACAGTTAACTGGCGCGATATCCACGTGAATCATACCTAAGCAACCATTTACTATGGCAATCACCGGTCACTTGCAACAGATGCTATTAATCACTGGACTAGTTCAGAAGCTGTTCCTTCTCTCCAGGGCATTACACGGCTTAGTAGGAGGACCTCTCTCGATTCCTGCGTGATAGAGCAAAGCCCACAAGTGAGTCACAAACTCGCCTCCTCTAGTCAAATGCTCCGCATGGGCTTTCGCATTGTCCGAAGGTGCAACATATAACACCATTTCCGCCCAAAAGTCAGCCAGAATCCTCCAAATCATGTCCTTGTTATTTATATCATTTGCAAGCTGATTCCCGAGCCGAGCACCCTGGTTGATAACAGTTTCTCCACGCGCAGAAAGACCACTGCTGTTCTCCTTCATCGCCTTAACCCAGTCCTCCATTCTCTTGCAATTCAGAAAGAAGTCCCTGGCTTCGATGATTGCCCGATCGAACACGTACTCCACAACGTATGGGTGATCCGGCAGTAGCCATGGAGCAAAAGCAACCAAGTAAGCCACATACTTGGACAAGCTAGTTGCCACTAGGAAACTCCTCCTTGTTGCAGGCGAGTCTGATCTTCCAAGTGGCAGTTGGTGCTCACAGAAGCTAGTGGCGATGTGCCACACTATTATGACCTGAGTCTGTGTCTCAAGCCGACATGCCCACGACAGCTTCTTGGACTCATTGTTCATTCTCAGTGAGGCCTGTCCATTCTCCAATTTAGCACTGTAATTCGCCTTTAGAGTATGAAACACCGCTTGCTTGACTTCTTCAGGCAATTTGATCGGGGTGCTCTGTCTCTGGCCATCCCTAGTCTGATCAATGTAGACCGCCATCATCTTGTTGTTCAATAACCTGGAAGGCTTATAAGAGCATGACTCGAGGAATGAGTACTGATGAAGCTTTTGCTCCCAAGGCCTCATCAATTTGACCCGACATATTGCTCTGATTATCCTCTCAATCCACACATTTTCTTGCCATGACTTCTTCTGCACATACTTGCAGATCCATATCACTTTAGCCCATTCCGAGAAACCCACGAAGAAGAACTGCATAAGCTCCACCATGATGAACGAGATTATCATCACGCTGGTCACGACTACTTCGATGCTCAACCCATTCGGCATAGTGCCCAGTTGATAGTTATTGTCATGTCTCTTGTAATACGTCAAGATTGATGTCGTAGACCAAATGCTGAGAGTGACATAAATAAACTCCAGCAATTTGAAGAGCAACCGGCCAGGCTGGAATATGATACTGTACTTGGTGTAGAAGAAATCGAAAAGGAATGTGAGCTCGTCCTCGACAACTCGAAATGCTCGCTTGTAGCCGTCTTCTTTCGAGAGTAATCCATGGCGAATCAAGTTCCATGTCTTCTTGTGGGCCTCTTGGGGCAATGAGTAGCCAGCATATCTCAAACGGAGGAGCTTGAAGAGTGCAAAAGAGAGGCATTTGTCCTTGAGCTTCTTGTGGGGGTCTCCTTCTGAGCTTAAGAGCGTCCCTTCACACATCCACACCTGCGTGAATAGTTGAGTTTGAATATAAGTTTATTGCCAAGTTTACTGTCTAAATATGTGGTTATAATGTATATCATTCCTCTACCTACTGGTTTAAGCATTTTGATTGGACATATTAACGTGGCATCGGAGCACAGGTCAAGGGATCATATGTCGGTACTTTTTTTCTCAAACTCATTGATCGTAGTGGGTTCACAAGGTTCCCTTAAAACAAGAGCCATTTCTATTTCACAAATGACTAAGCCGAGTTGTACATGTGTAAGAGGTTGGGCAAGGATCATTAATTGTAATCCCACATCGCTTAAAATTCGTAGTTATAACGTGCCTCATTTGCATGTAGTTTCCCTCTATCTCGTGGCTTAAGTTTTGCATTGAACTTACTAACATGCCAAATGAAATCAAATGACCTAAGTATGATAAACGAACGATGCGTGCTGAGATAAAAAATCCAAAAATAATATGAGTTGAATGTAATCAGGATTGATAGGAGGAGATCCTCTCTCATTTGTGTTCTTATTCAGTGCGTCACCAAGCCCAACTATAGATCCAATTGAAGGGGGTTAGTTTTGAAATCTATCACTCAACACATAAATTATTGGTGCCTCAGTAATCCTAAACATAGATCCATGTGAAAAAGGCTAGTTTTCAAATTTATCACTCAATGCATGGTTAAGATTTGTTATGATATCGTGCATACTAGAAGACCGCATTAATATATTTCAACTTTGGGTTAATACCGCGAAAAACCCCAAACTGGTATGCCTGTGATAATTTTACCCCAAACTAATTTTTGACCATCAAAAACCCCAAACTGGTACACCTGTGATAAATTTACCCTCAGTTTATTTCCGTTAAATTTTACTATCAAATTGCTTTGTTAAATGATACATGGAAATTGACGGATGTATCAATTTTATGTTTTACCCTCCGTTTGTCACAGGCGTACCGGTTTATGATTTTTTGTGATATTAATTCAATTTAATGGAAATTAATGGATGGTAAATTTGTCACAAATGTACTAGTTCAAGATTTTTGGTGGTCAAAAAATTAGTTTGGGATAAATTTATCACAGGTGTACCAGTTTGAGGTTTTTCATGGTCAAAAAATTAATTTTGGATAAAATTATCATATATATATCAGTTTGAGATTTTTCGTGGTATTAACCCTTCAACTTTTAAATATCACAAGATGTCCAATCATGTTCTATCCCATCATCAATAATGCATACTATCATCATTTCCATTACTAGTCAAGATGATTTGTAGTTACTTTTTTTTTTTTCGCAAGAAGAAGATCATTATTAAATCAAAGGCTAGAAAAAAAATGAGAAAATGGCACAAATACTCCCTGAATTTTGGCCAAATGTGCAGTGGGATCCCTAAATTTTTAGTTTGTTCAATATGATCCCCGAACTTTAACCCAATGTGTAATATGGTCGCTGAACTTTTAATTTGTTTAATATCATTTTTGAACTTGTAGTACATGATCAAATTAGTCCTTAAACTATATGAAAATGTGCAGTGTGGTCCCTGAACTTTTAGTTTGTCCAATATGATCCATGAACTTTAATCCAATATCCAATGTGATCGCTAAACTTTTAATTTGCTCAATGTCATTTCCGAACTTTTTGTGCATGATCAAATTAGTCCTTAAACCAGTACATTGAATATTTTCATATAGTTCAGAGACTACATTAAAAATGTACCAAAAATTCAGAGACCAAATTAAACGAACTAAAAATTTATTAGACCACATTGAACATTAAGCTAAATTTCAGGAACTACATTAAATAAATTAAAAATTCAAAGATCAAATTATATATTGAGCCAATATTAATTGACTGTTTGTATTTTTTTTTTTTTTTTTGATAACCCAGGGAATCCCCCGCACGCCGATAGGGAGGTAAACCCCGGGGGCGAGTTAGCCACCACACACATACACCGGTTAAGTTACTCGCTATGTCCGGAATTCGAACACCCAATCCTCGATGGAGGAAAAGTGCACTTTCAGCCGCCACCTGCAAAGCGGGTGGTGACTGCTTGTATTATTATCTCCAAAAAAATCGAAAAACTCAAACCGTTAAAGATGTACCTTTTCAATGGTGATTAATTCATCTACGTTGTCCAATGGGGTCCGATGGTGCCGTGCCAGCGCACCCTCCTCCTTCCCTAGACACCTCTTGATAAATTGCTTAGCACGAACGAAGGTATTCACCGGTCTCTCCTCTTCACCCCTCACCAAATACGTATACCCTCTCATGCGAACCGGATCGACTTCACCACTTTCGTGCTCCACGCTCATATAATCAGCAACCACTTTTGTATACCTCTCCAAAGACTGGCGGCTCGCCGCCATCAAGGCCCGAGCCCTCTCGTCGGCCTTCAAGGTCAAGACGACGAGGAGGTACGGGGTCCCAAACCCCGTGTTGGACGTGTCGCGGAAGTACCAGTCTATCAAAAATAACAACCAAATCAATTTGATCATGATCTGCCAATTGTAGCTCTTCCACTGCTCGTTGTCCTCGAGACTGTATGCGGAGATAGAATCGGCGCTCCCGAGGATGATCATCAGGAACACTGCCCAGACAGGGAATAACTCGTTGCGGAACGGAGCTTCCTGCATGAGGCCTAGAGCGTAGGTGAGTACGTAGGTTGAGAGAGTGTAGGCCGTGAAAATGACGAGCCGGAACACGCCGCCGCTACAGCGGCGCCGGCATGAGCCGAAGGCGACGAGGAAGAGGAGCAAGAAGGCGGTGAAGATGACTAGGAGCTCGATCATCGCGAGCTTCCCCTTGGCAGTTTTCAGGAGCTGCCCGATGCCGTCCGTTGCTGGCGCCATCGCCATCTTTTGGGTCGTTTCCATCAAATTCCTCATGTTTGGTACTGATTAAGCTGCTTTTTCAGCTCCTAATTGGAGAAAGAAATGATGGAATTTCTCAGGGAGAGAGGGAGAGAGAGAGAGAGAGACAGAGAGTTACAAAGTTTTGATTGTGCTAGAGTACTGAAACCGTCTTCATGGACGTACATTATTAGAGAATCAGTGGCTTTTGGGAGGTTCAATATTTTCTAGGAAAGGAGAGAAGGGAAAAAACAAAAAAGAAAGGAAGTCGAAAATATCTCTGTCCTGTTCTTTGTGAACTTTTTGCAAGCACTAAAAAAATTCCGAACAGTGTGCCCTACCTATATACTAGTCAAATCAATCAATGGGGTCTAGTGCAGTCCACTTGGCACCCGTCGAGTATGCGGTGCGAGAAGATATTTTCTCAAGAAATGATTAAAGTCACTATAAAAATAACAGTATCTCCGTAATCATAAAAATTAAATAATAAATATTTATAAATTATTATAAAATTTATTTTTTTAAAAATTTGTGGCTCACACCTTACTTTCTTTTTACAGTGACCTAAAAATTATTATGCTAATAAAGGGTGACGCTATTTTTTTATCATATAGTATGCTCGAAAGTATATTTCAAAGTCGAAAATGAAAATTCAATTTAATTATCTAGCAAATCTTTATCAATATGGAAAAGAAAAATTAATCAAAATATGAAAAGGTTAATTTGTTAGAAGCATGATCAAAATTATATTTAGATCATATCTAAATACTAGCAAAAGATAAGCACATAAAGGGAAAAAAAAGGAAACTTCTTGCTGTTCTAATCCTACAATGAAGAAAGTAATTAATATCGATGGTAGATTCAATCTCATATCAAGTGGATTAAAATTTTAAAATATGCTTAAAACTTTCTTTTGAAAAAATCTTATATGAGTTTGAAAGTGAAGAAGGTGTAAATAAATTGTCAACCATCATCTTGAAATTCTTATTAAAACGTAACAAGCTCAAAAGAAAGCACAAATCAGCGATGTTTAACTTAAAATTGCCTAGAGAATTAGATTGAATTTTAATTTTCAACTTTGAAGTAAAGTTTCCCTCAAACTATTTGATAAAATAAGGAAAGTAATCGTATGTTTATAAGCCGTCAAAACTAGAAATTTCTAACATTCTATGTAAATTTTGTGATTAAAAATAAGAGATAATAAATTAAAATAAACATAATTTCGATAATAGGATGTAGGATAACATAATTTCTTGTTAGGTGAAATTTGATATTTATATTGTGAAGTTGATGAGATAAGAGAGAGAATAGAAATAAAACACAGCTTTGTGAGATAGCTCGATAAAAAGAGAAATGGATTAGCCTAATAAAAGAAGAAACAATAAATTGAAGAGAAAGGGACAGATGAGGGCATTTCGGTAAGTTCATAGGAGAAAAGGAGTGTCTTAGGGTGCGCATGAATACCATTCTCGCGTGCTAGGGAACTATTTCACGAACGAAATGACTTTTTTTTAGTGCTGCCGGAAACAATTTCGAGTGGACTAGTCGGGTATCGCTGGCATTGGTTTGGCCTAGCTCGCCGGCCGCGCGGACACTTCGGTTATCAAAAAAAAAAAAAAAAATTTATGAGTATTTGAAGGCGTTTGATAAACCGACCAAAATTTCTATTCCTAAAGTAGAAAAGAGCAATAAATGCGTTTGGTAACTACACAAAATTTCTGTTCCCAAATAATATTTTGAATTGTTTAATTTTTTTTTCTACCCATTTTCTTCTTTGGCCATGGCGGTCCACGGCGAGCCACGGCCCAGGAGTGGCGCGAGGGCGTCACGGCCCTCGGCCGCCGTAGGAGGCGAGGGTCGCCACTCGCCGCCGGGCGAGGCCGCCTCGCCGAGATGCGGGCGAGGCCGAGCCTCGCCGTCTCTAGGCGAGGCCGACCTTGCGTCGCGATCGACGGCGAGGCTCGGCCTCGCCGTCTGGGAGAGGCCGCCTCGCCCGGGCGAGGGTCCGGCCCTCGCCACTCGCCGCGAGGGCGACCTCGCTCGCGGGCGGCACCGGCGAGGGCCGTGGACGCCGGCCGCCTGGGCCGTGGGGCCGTCGCCGGCCCTGCCAGGAAGAACAACACAAAAATAAGAAAAAAAAAAAAGAAAAAAGAAAAAAACTGATTCTCAAAATTGTGCCGAGAAACAAGAAGCAACTTTTTTACTTCTTATTTCTCTTCCAAAGCATTTCTCGGCACAAATTTTGCAAAAATGTGCCCGGGAACAAAAAGTTTACTAAACGCATTTACGTTCCAAACTATTTCAGAACAAAAGAGCAGAATCTTCACTATTTTGGCACGCTACCAAATGGCCCTTAGTCAAAATTGGGGTGGAAATAGCGTCACCCGCTAATAAAACTCTATTTTCTCGTACATGCTATAATTTCTCTCAAGAATAAGTACAATGACCGAATTCTAGGGGTTTTTAGATATAGGAGGGGATGTACCAAGGAACCAACCTTGAAGCGCAGTGGTTGGTTTCACTATCTAGGAAGTAACCTGTGGTTGTGAACTTGAGTGGAGCCTCGGACATTTTAAGAAATCGTGCTGCAAATCGGGTGGTTTCACTTTGGAACTGGACTTGAACTAAATGATTTTGATTCATCAAGTTGGTTTTCAAGTTGAACAGGCTCAACAGCCTTATGGAGAAACGTGTGCCTTCGAATGTTGCAAGAAAATGAAATATATAGGAGTGTGGTAATGCATTCATAGCTTATTATACCACTCAGAAACAAGTACTATAAAATAGCGGTGTGCATCGGTCCCCGTCCAACCCGATAACCAGACCGGATCATATCGAACCGGCTTGTTCTTGGTAGGTTTCACTGGAATCGATTTGGTTCCTAATTCCCAATTTTTAGAATCGAGAATAACCGAACGTGTTCCTGATTTTTAGGAAGGAATCAGATCGATCAGATCGAACCGGACCAAATCTGTGGAACTTGTTAAAAGTGTGTCTCTCGAGTTTGAGCCATCCACAATACCCTATCTAAATTCACGGAGGTCATCTTGCTAATTTTGACGATTCGGCTGCACACGTTTTCATGTAAAAGAGATTTGTTTTCTTCTGTTGAAGACAAATGAGACCTCAATTTACTCTTTGACCAACGGGCATACGAGTCCTCAATTTCCTTAACGTGCAGGACTCTCGCAAGCGGCACATTTAACGAGGACGACTCCAAACGTTTGGCATCAAAAGATGCCTTCATTTGCAGTCCTGCACGCGCAGCGAGAACTACTGAGGAGGGGCCACGAGCTGCACAAGTTGGGGGAGACTTCTCTTCTCCATCACCGTGAAAGGGTGAGAAGCACCTGCAGACGAGGCAACGGTGAAAACCAAAAGAAACAAAGGAAGAAGAGAGTCCCATTTTTACAAGTATTTTAAAATAACTGACACAAGGTTAGAATTCTAGCTCTTCGAGAGTGATATCTCACTTCATACCGAAAAAAGAAAAAGAAAAGAGTGATATCTCACTTATGGCTCACCCCCCCGGAAGAAGGCCTTCGCCTTCCACCTACGCTAAGGCCCAAAGCCAATCCCGGGGAAAATCGAAATTCTTAATCAACGGAGGAATAATATAACCATTTTTTTTCAATAAGATAAAACTCTATTTATTTCGCGAAAAATAGATAATTTGGAAAAATATTTTCATAAAAATAATTATTTATGTTGTTTGAAATAATTAGCCAATGAAAGATGTTTTCGTTATTAACAACAATTTATCACTAAATATTTTTGTAAACTATAAAATATTTTTCGTTCATTCATTTTTATAAGCGATATAATGGACTATTTTTAGGAAAATATTTTTTAAATTATTCATTTTTCGTGAAACAAATATAGCTGAAGTGGAGGGGTCCCTTTGTTTGTTTTCTTTAGAAAGTCTCTCTAAGTTTGGTCATAAAGGAGAGACCCGTAAACACGTGAGATTTGTGCAAAAATTATTAGGTGTTTACGTGAGACTAAACACGGTGGGTATTGGATTTAATTCTAGGGCTAGGAAAAGCTCGAGTGTGTAAGCGATTGAAATACTGTAATTCTCTGATTATTTAGTGAATTATTTGTTGGATCTATTCGTAGATATAGGTGTCGATATTTGGACCAAACCATGTAAATTTCTGGTATCCATTATTGTTCTTCGTTTTATTGTATCTGGTAATTTTTCGTGCCCAATATAATTCCAAAGATCCAATCCGGTTTCCCAGCAAATCGGCGTAGAGTGTATTATTATTTTTATTCATTAAGGGAAAAAAGTACATATTATTTGTGGGTGTAATCTCTTCTTTTATTAGTAAGATCCTTTTGATTATTAATTTCATCCTACACTAAAGAAACTTTCAATATATTTAGAAATTTTTGAGAAAGAAAATAAAACATTTAAGAAAAAATAGCACCGTTGGTCCGGTCTAGTAATGTTCCAGGATGGATAGGGATGGTTTCCAGTTCCACATACTAGGAATTGACCCTGTCTAGTTCGATTTTTCAATTGTAGGATGGGAACTAACCCACCTAAAAATCGATTACCCCTACCAAATAATGCATTGTTTTGATATTATAAAATTTATTGTTGGATTTGAGCACGTTGGCTGTTGAGCTCTAGATTTGGCTGGAAGTCTTGAATTATGGCGGATGTCGGAAGAAGATTGAAGACAAAAGGAAATCAGCATGATTTATGGTGGGCTATCTTTGGGTATACCCTCCATCATTAAATGCTTTAAGGAAAAGAGGAGCTCTTGTTTGGGATTTTGTCGGAGAGCGTGAAGTTCTAACATTGTTAGAACGAGCAAAGACTTCATGGTCTTTGGCTTATTTAATGTTTGTGTTGGTTTTGTTGTTAATATTTTGTCCTTGGATAATAAGAGTGCGTTTGATAATCATTACGTTATCGAAAATAATTTTTGCTCAGAAATAATTTTTTTTATTATGTTCCCGGAAACAATTTCTAAGCATTTGAAGGCGTCTGATGACGGTCCAAAATTTCTATTCCTAAAATAGAAAAAGAACAAAAATGCGTTTGGTAACTACATAAATTTTTTTTATTAATAATATTTTTAAATATTTTAATATTTCTTTTTTCTTTTTTTCTTCTTCTCCTTCTTGGCCATGGCCGGTGAGGGCGAGGGCGGCCACCGCCTAGGCCAAGGTCGGCGAGGGCGTCGCGGCCCTCATCGGCGAGGGCGGCCCTCGCCCAAGCTGCGAACCTCGAGGGCGGCCCTCGTCGGCTCGGGCGAGGGTTGGAAATGGCCGGAGAGGGTCTAGCCCTCGCCCTCGTCGGCCCTGGCCTGTGGCTAGCCGCCGATCGCTGGCAACCCGGCCATGGCCAAGAAGAAGAATAGGAAAGAAGAAAAAGAAAAAAAAAATCTTTTTTATTTCTCATTCTTGTTTCCAGAATTAAAAACCAACTTTTTTTTGTTTCTTGATTCTATTCCAAAATTGATTTTGGGAACAAATTTGTGCAAATTTGTGCCCGAGAACAAAATATTTACTAAACGGATTTCTGTTCCAAAACTGATTCTGGAACAAAAGAATACAATTAGTTACTATTTGACCAGTTACCAAATGCACCCTAAGCGTGCGGGATGTTTTTCTTCATCGTGAGGTGAGTGTTGTATAGCAATTGAACCCATCAGAAAGCATTCAAAGAACAATTTGTCCCTCCAAATTGCGCACTCGTTTTAAATTTCCAAAAGTTGTCATTATCCTTTTTGGTTCCAACATGCATACTTTTGCGGTTAAATGCTCCACTTTCATATCTCTCATTTTGTTAGTCCAATGTAAGTGAGATAAGGTTGATTCGACTCAAAAAATTTGCTTGACTTGCCTATCGTTCCACCCCATTCGACAAATGCATCCCTGTTTGAATTTTATTCGATGAGGAGTCGGACACTATAAATTTGAACTAATTATGTCACATCCCGAAACCTACGAGGATGGGGGATGACACGGCTGTCATTCCACCCAAAGGACGCAGTTTCAAACCATTCAAAAGTCCCCACGACATCGCTCTCACTCTCATGGCTACTAACCAAAGAACCTGAAAAGATTGGAGAAAGAGAGGGGTGAGCAACTATAGCTTAGTAAGTAATGCGTATCTCTTCTAAGTAAATCAAGCAACCACTATGCATGTATACATAAAACCATACCAAAATTCCAAAAGTCAAACTCAAGATATAAAATACATATTGAGTCACATAAGAGTTGTTTCATTTTTGGACTGAAAAAATGTTTTTAGTAAATAACATATACAAACTATATATTATATTATTTTTTATATTTTTATCCGAAAATATAATCAATTTGTGGACCTAGGGGGTGAGGCCACCCCTAGTCCCCTTTTAGGTTTGTCACCATGTACGCAACCATCTTATCTAAAAGCCTAAACTATCACGTGGGAGGCGACTTCATGCATATTAGGCCAATTGAAAACCTGTAAATTAGTAACGTGGGATATTTTAATACCACATCTAGCATGAAAATCAGATAAAAAACGACACGTGAGATTGATGAAATGGGGGATACGATTAACGAAATGCACAAGAAACATGAATTTTTAAATCTGATCAAAACTTGACTCTGATATTATGTTGAAAATTCCAACTAATAAGCTTAATTTATCAGAGTATGATAGGAACTATATTTTAAATCTTAACTTATCGCGTCTCATTTAATGTATAGATGATGTGCATAAATGTCGTGATGGTCTAGAGTTCTTTTTTTATATCGAATTGCTTCTCACATTGGGATTTCTTTCTGTCTATGTTTTGAATCTATATTTTGTGTACTTTTGCCGTTTGCCATATGGAAAAAAGAGTAAGATTTGACCAAATGTTTCTATATTCGGACTGGTCGAAGAACTGGCTTAGCCTCCGGCTTTTGGGTCAGCCAACTCAACCGATACGACCGCCAAGTCAATAAATTGAACATTTAACAAACAAAATGTGTAACCTATGTTAAGTATGCTTATTTATTCAGTTAGATAGGAATGACCACTAAGCTGATTGGATAAATCTCTCTTCTACCTCAAAGAGATCATGGGGTAAATCTTCCTGTGCCTCACTCCTTAAATTTTTTACACATAAGTCTGAGCCATAGTCAAAGATCCGGTCAAATCGGTGACGGGTCCACCGGGGTGACTGGTTTCACCGGATTTGATCGGTTCTTGACCATCCAGGCCATTGACAAAACCGGACTAGACCACGGTCTAGTTCCTAGTCCATTCAATTAAACCGACTAGTTCGGTTCGGATTTGACTACACTAGATTTAACTAAAGCTGGGTGAAAGCATTACTACGGATGCCAATTCAGTCATAAACCTTTTAATTTGATCAATTTAGTTTTAAATTTAATAATTTGCCAATTTAGTCTTTTCGATCAATTTTGACCAGAAACCACTAACGTGGACACTGGTCGTCTTTCATGGCACAGCCGGCACTGACGTAGATGATAGTCGTCCTACGTGGCACGGATGCAGATGTGCCATGGTCATGGGCCGGAGGTACACAAAGAAAGATGTGTATGGTCAAGTGTGGCCGCAGCAAGTTCAATTGTATGCTTGTCAATAGTGCTGACTTTCATGTACATGTCTCTTGACCTTTCTTTTAACTTTTTATTTTTCCAATATAGGATACCGTGTCTATTTTATGTGCCGATTATGATTCCACCTCACTGCATTCTGATTCGAATGATTTGAAGTGCCGGTTAGGCAAGCGCAGTGGTTGGTTTCACTGTTTAGGAACTAACCTGTGGCTATGAACTTGAGTTGAGCCGGCTGTCTTAAGCAATTGTACTGTAAATCGAAATGTTTCACTTTGGAACTGATCTTGGAACTTTCACGGTTTGATTCGTTCAAGTTGGTTTTCAAGGTGAACTGGTTCAGTAGCCTACAGGAGAAATGGGTGCCTTCGTATGTGCAAGAAAAGGAAATCAACAAAGAGTAAGCTAACTTGTTCATAGCTTATTATACCATTTAGAAGCAGATACAAGAAAATGCATAATTATGTGGTCAAATGCTCCACTTTCATATTTCTCATTTTGTTAGTTCAGTGTAAATGAGGTATAGTTGATTCAACCCGAAAAATTTACTCGACTTGCCTACCGTTCCACCCTATTTGACGAACCCATCCCTATCCGAATTTGATTTGATGAGAAGTTGGCTACCATAAACTTGAATTGACTAGGTTTCAAATTGATCAATCTTAGGATGGACATTGTTATTGCAAATTTACACCCGATCCGAATTTGAAGAAAGTTGAGCCTCAACGAGGCTGGGTTTACTGTGACCGATAAGGAGGTGACGCGATTCCAGATATAGTAATTTCAATCATGTAATAAAACTTACATAGGATGGAACCGAAAGAAAAGGTCAAATCATTTGAGTAAATTATAATAAGATTTCGTATCTTAATTCCAAACAGATCTCAAGCTTAAAGAATGAAGGCACTGACCCATTACATGAAGTCGCATCAACATGTATCTTATATCCGGTCATTCAAATGCAGCCTATATTTTCAATTTTGATTATTACTATTAGCCAAAGAAAAGATAAAAAGAAAATAAAAGAAACAATTTATACAAAAAAAATATATTCCATCGTTAGCATTCTATGTTTAACTCATGAAATGTATCACACTGGGCCGTTGGACAATGAAGAGATCCTTCATGAGATGGAAACATCTTCAACTACACAAATGGTGGTGCCTCATGCAAATGGCTCGGAGACACTAAGATCATGACTCATAGTTATCGGATTTTCTTTCCATATATGAGTTCATTCCACTTCTATCTCATTAACTCAATCTTGCGACCATAATAAGCATTGAGAGTGAGCTTTCATCACAGAACATTTTCCCGCCTTTACTCTCGAAAATGGATGTTTTCTTTGAGCCCCTGGAAGGAAGTCCTTTCTGCATTCAAATTGGTTTCCATGATACAGTCCTGGAGATCAAAGTGAAGATCGAAAAACACCAAGGAATCCCCGTCTATAGACAAACTTTGGTTTTCAACGATGAGACCCTTGATGATGAGCTCGATGTCGAGGGCTGCAACATCCACGATCACTCCCGCATTAGGCTCGTTGTCGAGCCAGAGCCACTGCCGTTCACTAAAATTGAATTATGCATAGGAATGCTGCCATCCAATATGCGGCTCCCCATAGAAGTTAATGTGAACGACCCTGTGAAACGCTTGAGAGAGGTTGTCCGGTCCCTGGAAGATGTCCCTCTTGAGCGGGTGACGCTGTATGCAAATGGAACTGAACTTGAAGATGATTGCCGGATATGTGACTATGAGCTTCCCGACAATTCCAGTGTTGATGTGCGGATCAAGCCTCTGAAGTTCATGGTGATGGTGTTGCCATGGAAAGCCAACCTTAAAGTTGCGGTGGAAGTGGAACAGTGGGACAAAGTAAAGGTTCTGAGGAAAGAGCTTGAGAAGCTGCAGCCGAGCCTGAAGTTCGATCTTCCATCGGAGGGGTATTTTTGCATACATAACCAGAGTGGGATGGATGAAGATGAGTCGTTCAAATGGCACGGCGTCGAGATGGGCGATACTATTGAGGTTTTCAGGGGGACGATTTCACGATGAGGCCTTGTTTTCTCATCCAATTAGCTGTTTCACTGGGAGATCTAGGGCATGATGACAATAAAGTTCTTAGTGTGAGTACAGGTTATAGGTCGAGTGACATGCAATCCCCTTTTACCTTTTATGTTGGCATTATCAGGTTTTCTAGATTCCATTGTTCTTTCTCCCTTTTCCGTCTTTGTCGTCATTATCTCTCTCTTCTTATGTAAGTGTCGTTAGGAACACCATTATATCTTGGGCCATGATATTCTTATCTCATTTCAATTCTGTCAGTAATGATAAATGCATGGTGAAGCACATCCGCGGGTCAAGTCAATAAATTTGTGTTGAGAAATGGTGGAATTAAATCGTTTTTGGATTTGGATTTCCTAGTTTGTACACGCGTTGCCTCCTTCAGTACGTGCCCTGATTGACAAGTTTTCAGTCGATCTATCCTTTTGGCCAAACTATTGCACCAGCCAAAGAAGCTTCAGTTGTAAAAGTCACCCAAATGCAACATCTAGTCTGTGATTATCTACCGTATGAGCAATCTCGCGGAAAAGCTCTGACGCAAGAAAGATTGTTGCTATCTCCCATGTTATCTTCTCCGTAAAATTGGACAATCGTGTCCCAGGAGGCACTTCTTTCTTGCAGAAGATGATCAATCCAACCTGAATTGCTATGATTCTTAGAAATGATTGACTACGTTCTTTCCTTCTGCAAAATCTGGTCGGTGCTACTACTCTATATGCTCCTCCATGACCATCTATCCTAGAAAGCAAGCCATACCAAATCAACTGGCCGGGAATCAGTTTAAACATAGATCGATCCAGATCCAAGGGAATTGCTGTTTAACATAACTGTTCTCGATTTTAGTCACGGCAAGAATGCTATAAGTACTGTGAAACTTGGTTAATCTTGACTACAAGAACCATCTTCAGCAACGAAGTCTTTGATATTCCCAATGAATTCCAGTCATGCGTATATTGTCACCAATTTATAAAAAACTCTAGGTGAATCCATCCGTAGAATTATATTACTAGACCAAAGGCAGAATGTCTCTGAGGAATACACATGATGTAGATGTTCACTAGCAGTAGGATTACACTTGATGCATAGTGAGAGCTGCAAGCGATGTAATCAAATTCATTGCACATTGACTGGCTCGAGATCCGCCTGAATTGTTCATTAGCAACATTTATATCGAAATCACCGTTCACTTGCAACTGATGCTAGCATACACTGGATTAGTTCACAAGCTTTTGCTTCTCTCCAGTGCATTGCGCGGCTTAGTAGGATGATCTCTCTCGATCCCTGCGTGAGAGAGCAAGGCCCACAAGTGAGTTACAAACTCACCTCCTCTAGTCAAATGCTCTGCATGCGCTTTCACATCGTCTGAAGGGGCCACATACAACACCAGTTCCACCCAAAAGTCGGCCAGAATCCTCCAAATCATGTCCTCGCGTTCTATATCATTCACGAGCTGAATCCCGAGCCGAGCACCCCTGTTGATAACAGTTTCTTCATGCGCAGAACTACCTCTGCCCTTCCTCTCCATCTCCCTAACCCGGTCCTCCGTTTTGTTGCATCTCCCAAAGAACTCCCTGGCTTCGACAATCGCCTGATCGAACACGGACTCTGCAACGCAAGGGTGATCTGGCAGTAGCCGTGGAGCGAAAGCAACCAAGTAAGCCAAATACTTGGACAAGCTAGTTGCCACTAGGAAATTCCTCCTCGTTCCGGGCGAGTTTGATCTTACCGGCTGTTGGTGCTCACAGAAGCTAGTGGCGATGTGCCACACCATTATGACCTGAGTCTCTGTCTCAAGCTGACATGCCCATGACAGTTTCCCGAACACTTTTTTCACTCTCAGTGAGGCCTGTCCATTCTCCAATTTAGTACCGTAATTCAACTTCAAAGCATCAAACACCGCTTGCTTCACATCTTCAGGCAATTTAATCGGCGAGCTCTGTCTCTGGCCATCCCTAGTTTGATCGATGTAGACCGCCATCAACTTGTTGTTCAATAACCTGCAAGGCTTATAAGAGTACGACTTGAGGAATGAATACTGACGAAGCTTTTGCTCCCAAGGCTTCAGCAACTGGACCCAACATATCGCTCTGATCATCCTCTCAATCCACACATTTCCTTGCCATGATTTCTTCTGCACATACTTGCAGATCCATATAACTTTAGCCCATTCCGAGAACCATATGAAGAAGAACTGCATGAGCTCCACTATGATGAACAAGATTATCATCACCCTGGTCATAAGTATGTCGATTACCAACCCATTCGGCAAAGTGGCCGGTTTATTAATATCGCAGTGTTTCCTGTAATTCTTCAAGATTGATGTTGTGTACCAAATGCCGAGAGTGACATACACGAACTCCGCCAATTTGAGCAGCAACCGGCCGGGCTGGAATATGATACTGTACTTGGTGTACAAGAAATCGAAAAGGAACGTGAGCTCAACCTCGACAACTCGAAACGCTCGCTTGTAACCGTCTTCTTGCGAGAGCAATCCATCCCGAATCAACTTCCATGTATTATCGTGAGCCTTTTGGGGCAATGAGTAGCCAGCATATCTCAAACGGAGGAGCTTGAAAAGTGCAAAAGAGAGGCACGTGTCTTTGAGCTTGTCGTGGGGGTCTCCTCCTTGGCTTAAGAGCCTCCCTTCACACTTCCACACCTGAGTGAAGAGTGGAGCTTGCATATAAGTTTATGGCCAAGTTAAACTGTTTAAGTACGGGGTCCAGCACATGTCAAGAGTTTAGATCCCGGTATTTTCCTCTCAAAATCATCGCTCGTGATAGGTTCACAACAACAGGGTCACACAAAATAGGAGCCTTGTCCATTTCATAAATAAGTAAGTCGAGTGGTACGCATGTAAGGGGTCTGCTTACACTAGAAGAGGAGCGTGAATCGTGATCCCACATCCCTTAAATGTGTGGTTATAATATGCCTTATATGCATGTAGCGTCTCTCAATCTAATAGCATACGCTTTTGCGTTGAACTTACTAACATGCCAAATGAAATTAAATCACTTAGGTTACGTTTGGTGCCTCCTCAAGATAGGATAAAATGAGATATAGGATAGATATAGCCCAAATAAAATTATCTTATGGGGAAGGTGGGATAAAGGTGAATAGGATTTATAATATTCATAATATTAAAGTTATTTTTCTTGAATAACAAAATTATTAAATTAATAAAATTAAAATGAGATTTGAATATAAATAATATTTGAATTTTACTATAAAAAATTCAAAATAACAAAAAAATAACATTAATTTCGTTTTTACTTATTCTTATTTTTATTCATATATTCAAATTTCTTTCTATCTTATGATATAAATTTCATATATAAAAAAATACATTTAGTATTTATATTTGTTACATTTTAGGTATATTAGTGTAGTTTACTATTTAATAAAATTTTATTAGAGAACGATGGAAGGTGAAAAAAGAAATAAAAAAGAAAAGAATTAAAAAGAGAGAAAATAATAAAAAAATAAGCAAATAAAAATGAAGTAGGTAAGATTGTGGTGAGAGATTTTTATTATCTTCGTTTGTGCAGTTTTTAGGTTTATTTATATTGATATGATGTTCATAGTGAATAATAAATATGGTAAGATGTGAAAATATCCGGTTTTATCAGTGCAATTCACTAAACAATAAATAGGATATAGCAAATTCCTTGGATTTCGTACCATATCTTATCTAGTCTTATCCTAGCTAGAAATCCAGAGGACCAAACGCAGCCTAAGTGTAATTGAACGAAGCATGCGAAGATAAAGAACCCAAAAGTAATACGAGTCAAGAGTGATAAGGAATTGATAGAAAAAAATCCTTTGCGATCTATTTGTGTTTACTGCCTCAGTAATCCCAACCATAGATTCATGTGAAAGACGTTGGTTTTGAAATCTATCACTCAGCACAATAATGAAATTCGCCGCGACACTATGCATGCCAGATGATCTTCCTCCGATATTAATATATTTCAACTTGTAAACATCGCATGGTGTCTGATCTTAGTCTATCTTATGGTATCACATCATTAATCATGCATATTGCTATCATTTCTGTCGTACTTTGTCACAACTAATCGAAATGATTTTGTTTTTCTTTTGCGTCTTAGAAGAAGATGCTTATTAAATCGAAGTTTAGAGAATTTAAAACAAAAAATCGAACGATGAAAGATATACCTTCTCAACAGTGATTAATTCATCTTCTTTTTCCAATGGCATCCGGTAATGCGGTGCCGGTGGCAGCCCTGCTGCCGGCGCCGGCTCCTTCTTCCCTAGACACCACTTGATAAATCGCATAAGAACAAGGTTCTTCGCCCATCTCTCCTCTTCGCCCCTCACCACATATCTATACCCTCTCATGCTAACCGGATCAACTTCACCACGTGAAACACCCCCATTTTCGTGCTCCCTGCTCATGTAATCAGCAACTACTTTGGTGCTCCTCTCCAAAGACTGCCGGCTTGCCGCCATCAAGGCCCGAGACCTCTCGTCACACTTCAAGGCCCAGATGAAGAAGAGGCAAGCGAACAGGATAATCTTGTTGGATATGTCGTTGTTGTGCAAGCCTATCAACAAGCCCAACCAGATCGATTTGATCCCGAGCTGCCAATTATAGCTCTTCCACTTCTCGGTGTCCTCCAGACTGTATGCGGAGAGAGAATCTGCGCTCCCGAGGGCGATCATCAGGAACATTGCCCAGATGGGGAATAGTGGGTTGTGGAACGGAATACTGTACATGAGGCCTAGAGCGTAGGCGAGTACGTAGGACGAGAGAGTGTAGGCCGCGAAAATGACGAGCCGGAACTTGTCGCTGTTGCAACGGCGTCGGCATGAGCCGAAGATGACGAGGAAGAGGAGCAAGAAGGCGGTGGAGATGACCAGGAGCTCGATCTGCAAGAGCATCTGGAAGGGACTTGGCGGGGGCTTCATTTTGCCCCTCCTGGCCTTGCAGTTTGCGGTCGTCGCCGTCGTTTGCTTCGTTTCGATCAAATTCCTCATGTTTGCTACTGAATAGTTCGCTGGTTATTCAGCCTCCAATTGAAAAAAGAAACGATAGAACTTCCGAGAGAGAGAGACAAAGACAGACAGACAGACAGACAGACAGTTTGGGGACTAAATCTTAGTTCTTATAGAGCAGGGAGTTCGGGAACTATAATGAGAATGTCAATTTTTTCTTTTAATGATACTGGGCATTTGAATTTATCTCGAATAATCTTTACAATCGCATATATTAAATTATTCGATCCAATTGCATCAAGTAAGGTCCGATATCGCAAGGTTACTCCATTGGAAGATGCTATAACTTGAATGTATAATGTCCTGCCTCTAAACCAAGTACTTATTCAAATAGCTAAAAGTGGAGGTATTATCACTAAGGGGAGAATATTAAAATTAGATAGTCTATGAGGATTTAAAGTGCTCTCGTAGAAACAAAAGGATAATAAAATGGCGATCCCTGAACTTTTCTTTAATATTTAATATAATCTCATAATTTTATTGTTGTTCAATCTTGGTCTTGAACTTTCAAAGATGAAAAATCAATTTAATCCTTTCGTGAAAACTTATAAAAACATTAACTGACGTGGCAATAATGTATTTTTCATGCTAGCATCCACGTGACTTACATGTGGCTTCCACATGCATAATATATATATATAGTGATATAATCAAAAGTGATTTTCTTATTTAAAACTTGGGTTTCAATCCCTTCACCTGTGACTGTGAAAGGTCGTAATGAGTTAAAAAAACTGGTGTTCCTATAAAACATCCTTGCTTTTAGTCAAGGATATAAGACAAAACGTGATTGTTTAAACCTTCTTTTGTGAGGAGCTTAATTCTTACTCGAACTAACCATACATATATATTTATATAATGATTCTGGCCCAAAAAGAAAGGGAAAAAAGATTTGCTGACTTGAGAAAACAACGTGACAACACACACCATTATTTAGCCCAATAAAGACTAACATGGCAGTCCATGTAGAAAAAGACGTGAGGTGACGATTCATTTAACGAAAAGGCTAGAAAAGAGAGAAAGCAAAAACAAAACAAAACACACACACACACAAAAGGCCGCTTTACAAAGAGAGAAAGCAAAAAGTAAAACCTCCGTACTTCTTTATTTTCTCCCTTGTCGGAACAGAGAATATATGCAGCCTTTTGCTTTAGTTCGCTTTCTATAAGTAGGCAACGCTAAGATTATACTTATTCTACTGTTGGGTTAACACGGCAAGAAAACCCTAAATGGATATATTTATGATAAATTTATTTTTTTTTAATTTTCATTAAATTTAATTAATATCACGAAAAATTACAAACCGATACACTTATCAATTATCACGTGCCATCCGATTCAGTAAAATGATGGTAAAATTTAACGGAAACTAATAAAGGGCAAATTTGTTACAGGTGTACCAATTTGAAATTTTTTGTAGTCAAAAAATTAGTTTGAAGTAAATTTATCATAGGTGTACTAGTTTGGAGTTTTCCGAGATGGCAACCCTATATTGTTTGAATATGCTTCGAAGTTGAGCCTGAAGGGGAAAAATCTGAATTTCGAAAATAGATAAAATAAAAATAAAAGGGGCACGCAATATTTTTTTTTTGGGGGATATTAAGTCAGCAAAGGAAAGAGAAGAACTTTTACACTTATATTCCTATTTTGGTGTTGGACTCCGTGCTTGAGAAGGACTCGTACGAGGAATATCCTTTGATTTAAGAAAAAAAGGAATCCACAAAAAAAACCAAGAATTAAAAAAAATTAAAAAAAATATACCCCCCCCCCCCCCCCCCCCCCCCCCCCCCCTCCCCCCCCCCCGCCCCCGCCCCCCCCCCCCCCCCCCCCCCCCCCCCCCCCCCCCCCCCCCCCCCCCCCCCCCCCCCCCCCCCCCCCCCCCCCCCGGGGGGGGGGGGGGGGGGGGGGGGGGGGGGGGGGGGGGGGGGGGGGGGGGGGGGGGGGGGGGGGGGGGGGGGGGGGGGGGGGGGGTTGGGGGGGGGGGGGGGGGGGGGGGGGGAAAAAAAAAAAAAAAAAAAAAAAAAAAAAAAAAAAAAAAAAAAAAAAAAAAAAAAAAAAAAAAAAAAAAAAAAAAAAAAAAAAAAAAAAAAAAAAAAAAAAAAAAAAAAAAAAAAAAAAAAAAAAAAAAAAAAAAAAAAAAAAAAAAAAAAAAAAAAAAAAAAAAAAAAAAAAAAAAAAAAAAAAAAAAAAAAAAAAAAAAAAAAAAAAAAAAAAAAAAAAAAAAAAAAAAAAAAAAAAAAAAAAAATTATAAAAAAAAAAAAAAAAAAAAAAAAAAAAAAAAAAAAAAAAAAAAAAAAAAAAAAAAAAAAAAAAAAAAAAAAAAAAAAAAAAAAAAAAAAAAAAAAAAAAAAAAAAAAAAAAAAAAAAAAAAAAAAAAAAAAAAAAAAAAAAAAAAAAAAAACAAAAAAAAAAAAAATTTTTTTGTAACTCAATAAAAAAAAAAAAAAAAAAAAAAAAAAAAAAAAAAAAAAAAAAAAAAAGACCAGGATATTTTACATGTATATAAGTGTCTCCTCTTCGTTGGAGTCCAATGGTTGTCGCAGCGAGGCCGTTCATGTACAGAGAAAGAGAAAACCCCCGTTGTGACCGAGTGCTTAGTGTATTTTTCTTTGTGAAATTACATCATTAATTTTAGTGTTGAAGCCGATTAAATCTTGTAGTAAGATTTGTTAATTCCTTTGCGAGATTAATCCACCGGAAGAGCAACAAAGAATTTCCCTATAAATCAAGCAATATAACGGAAATTATAACCACACTCGAATTACTCAAACACTCTTAGTAATTTTTAGCCTCAATTACATTGAATAACTCATACAGTGTTTAGCCTCACAATTACGACCGAAATTATACTTCACGTTCTGTCTATTTTATTGTTCGAGCGCTTGCTTATGCAAAACTTAGATTGTTCTATATATTGGTATAAATGTGAATTTTTGTAAGAGAAATAAAATTCAGAAGATTATAACAAAATAATATTCACATCAATCATATTTGCGCTAAAGTCTGCATGAACTTATATTTGAAGTGAATCCGAACCCCTTCATGCATATTTGTCCTCCGATTAAAAGAATAAATGAGACATAAGATTTCATCATCTATTGAATCATGATATAAGTACATGAAATACTCCGAGCATGTAAAATAATATGAATTTGTAAGAAACATGAAAGCATAAAAATAGCTTTCCTCAATCTATTGATATCTTCATTTTGTACTATCGTCGTAGCGTTGAAAATGCTAGCAAGTTAATTGTCTAAAATCTTCTTAATAGTAAAATCGTTTCTGCTCCGCTCTATCTATAGAGAATTAGAATTGATTTCCTTCAAGATCAAATTGATTTCCTTTAAGATCATCTTCCAATTCCATATATTTAAGTTTACTTTTTTTTATTTATGGAAATTCTCCCTTTTTCTTGTTGTTAACTATTTTATGTCTATCTTTTCGTTTTAACAATAGTTGATGGATATCTTCTCATTCGTGACAATGCATCACAAAGAGAGTTGTTGTATATCTTGCAAATTTTGCAATATTCAATTTGTATCTTGCAAATAAAAATATACTATGATTTTTTTAATGATGTGTTCTTTTTTATTTAGTAAAAATTATTTTATTTGTTTTGTAATATTCATTATTTGTAAGAGAGGACCTATGATTCTTTAGCGATCCACTTTTTTTTTATTGATAGTCTAATGTCATTTATTTATCAAATAGAGGGTATCATATTACATAAATTTTTCATTGATCCTCTAACATCATATAATTATGAAATATGCACTATCATGTCATAGAGTACTTTTAAAGTAATTGCTTTCTTCAATAAATCTTTGTGTTAATTAGAAATTTACTTATAGATTTTTAATCTTCATTTGTACGTAAAATATGTGTTATCATCTTACTTAGATCATGTTAACATCATTTGTTTGTTAAATATGGACCATCCTATCATGTAATATTTTATCGATATATTAATATCAGTTTTTTCGAATTCGGCATAATGGTTTGTCAATTGTGTTTCCATAACGTTGTTTGACTTACTTTGTTCTTATCAATTGTCAAGTGGTATAGATGATACAAAATACTGAGGTTTGTTCTCATCAACTAAGAGCAGTTGATAATTACAGAATTAATCATATTTATTTGCTTGTTAAATATGCACAACCGTGTAATATAACCCTCTAAAATTGTATTATTCACGTTCTATAGACTTTTTGTAATAATGAATAACTTTTTTCTATTAATTTGCAATTAGTTGTTTTTATTTTTTAATATTTAATTGTTTGTAAAGCATGTAATATTATTTTTCTTACATGATGATGGATAATTCTTTTAGCCCTCTAATTCTATTTATTTGTCAAATATAGACTATCATGTCGTAAAAGATATTTCTATGCTGTTCAACTCTTGATAAGTTTCATTAAGCACAAATATGATTAATATTTATATCATTGATATGTTAAATATGGGATAGCAGGACATATAATCTTTTTTTATCTGATTATTTACCCATAATGGGTATCCATCGAGCTTTTAGCATGCATTTGAACATAATATAGACAACTAAATATTCTAAGGACAGAATAATCGCTATCATTCTGACGACACTTGACATCACAATCTATGGAGATTTTTTTTACTAGGTAACTCGTCATACAAAGCGCATTTGGTAGAAATCTCAGTTATACCAACACTAAAGAGCATTTTATGAGCATATTCCAATAATATTTTGATCATCAACTCTGCACTTGTTGAGGTTTAATAGCACTAGTACGGTGTTTCACTATGCTTTCTTCTATGCAAAAAATCATTAAAAAGCTCCAAACAAAACTCAATGTCAATGTCGCTTTGCACATGCTTGATCTTTGTTTATTTATTATTTTCATTTGTTCCGGGGGAAGTGAATGATTCTGAAAATATTTTCCTAAAAATAATCGTTTGTATAACTTATATAAATGAAAGAACAAAAAATATTTTCACCGTTCACGAAAATTATTAGACATAAATTATTGACGGTAACGAAAATAATTTTTAATTGATTAATTGTTC